ACACACACACACACACATATATATATATATATATATATATATAATTTAAAAAAAAATTAATAGATTACAATAAAAAATATTTTACATCTATACACAAAAACGTTTATGTCTCAGAACTGTAATGGCTCTTCTCGGGGCGTTGGTAGATAACACATGATAAAAATAATTTATTTTGGAAATTTGAAAACAAATCGTTACCTCTTTTGAAAGTTAAATATTGTGGAAGGCTTAAGTTCAGAACTAAAAATCATTAATCCAGGTCTCCGCACTGATGCTGATTGAATATTGACCGTTGCCTAATTTCAATATTAAACCATATTATGATAGTGGAGCAGTCTAATTTATTTACGCTTATGTGATACAAATAAAATTGAATAAATAAATAATAAAATAATATATACACATATAATAAATGCATATATACACCGACATATATCCAAAGGCAAACACAAAATTATATATAACTAATATTATACGGTAAAGCACGTCAACGTAAATGACGGTTCCGTATAGGATGCAGGTTCGAATCCTGTGAAAGGACGAATATTTTCTATGAAAATTTCTCGGACATTCAGGCCGGTAAATGTTATTTAATACTGTTTATTATAAACAGAGCATTTACTTAAATACTTGTATCTATAAAAAAGAACGTTAAACATAAAAATGTCTTTAATAAATATATATATATATATACGAATTTTACATTGAGCTCTCTGGATATCATCCTCCTCGGGTCTACCCATACGGATTACCTAAGTTTGTATAAACTATATATATATATATATATATATATATATATATATATATATATATATATATATATATATATATATATAACCTGGTTTATAATCAGCAATTATTTTGAGCAATTTTAGATTGTCTTGTTCTGCATTGTTGGCTGTGATAATTTTGTTGATTTCTAATTTCAGCTGGTTGATAGGATTCCTGTTAAATTTCCGCGTGATCATGGCGGATTTGTTCTATTTTTTTATCATAATCAGATTGTTTTTAAAACTACAAATTTGTTTGATTTGTCTGCTTAATTGACAATTATATCAGGACGGTTACGTAACTTCTCGGCAGCGATTTTTAATGTTTTAGTTAATAGTTTATAAGAGTTTTTCTATTTGTAATGTCTATCTTATAACGTTATAACCGTTTGTGACTTTGTGCCTGACCGGAAAAGCTAACAGTGTGCGTCCGAGATTCAGCGCAAAGACCTACACAAAGTAACTTAAACTCTCATTTAGCTTGATGTGCCTAACCGCTCGGCTACAAAGGATCGTTCGATTGGCGGTTAGGCACGTCAAGCTAAATGACAGTGCCGTATAGGATGCAGGTTCGAATCCTGTGAAAGGACGAATATTTTCTATGAAAATTTCTCGGACATTCAGGCCGGTAAATATTATTTAATGCTGTTTATTATAAACAGAGCATTTACTAAAATACTTGTATCTAGAAAAAGAATGTTAAACATAAAAAAATGTCTTTAAATAATTGTCGGACTTTGTCCATTTCATAATGTATGACGTCATATAAATTTACGAATTCCTCGTAGTAAAACAGTATATGTATGGAGGGGAAATATACGCACGCATATATACACGCATGCTGACAGAAACGCACCAAAATGGAAACAGATCCAAGAGCACATAGGGGTCAGTAAGACATTAAAAGATAAAATGGCGATAACTAATTTATCATCTAGCTGGACCAACCTTAATTGTTTTATGACCCTTCGCGCAGAACTCTTCGTTGCCAATTGAAGAGGGAAATTCAGATTACCAACACACAAACAGAAAATGTCTCATATCGAGAATATTTAACATTGAACATGAGGAAAAATTAATTATTATTTTTAATGATATGTGGAAATCTCCACTTTTACCTGAAGACGGTCGAGAGACCAGAAACACGTGTCGTGAAATTATGTAAAACAAAACATAATATTTTTTCTAAATAAATCCACATTACAACCAAAAACTTTTGCGGCACCTCTCTTCTCTTCTTTTTAATATACATACTTTTCTCTCGTTGGAACCACTACATTATATTTCTTATATATATATATATATATATATATATATATATATATATATATATATATATATATATGTGTATTCTTTGTATGTCACACGCAACGAACGACCCACATATTTATGCATTTCCTTTTCTATCGTATATAGATTTAAAATCTTACTCATAAATGTAGAAACTTGAATATAGCCAACGTGCTCGTGTTTTTGTGCGTGCTTATATCATGCTGTGCATTGTTATTAATTTATATGTTTGGTCGATATATTTACTGGGTATTCTGACATCCGCGTCATGATTTATCACTTCCTGGTGATGGCAATACTGAGGCGATAGGACGAAATAAGGAGGATGCTTAACGTTACCCTGCATTTCTTTTCTTTCTCAAGATTGTGCACACTTCTTTCTTCAATGACGGCACACATCATTCCCCCAACTTCTTGCCGTCATCATTATATCGTCCATTTTTGACTGAAGTAGGATCCGGTGCCTTTCGCTGATGATCGAGTGATAATTTTGGAACTGTCCCCCAGATTTCTCCTTAGGCGTCGAGTAGATTTTCTGGATTCTCTTTCTGGATAATTTCATTTTTTTTTTTTTTTTTTGCAATCCTTTCATTCTTGTAACAGCCACCTTACCGATAAGAAGAATATATGTGAAGGTGAAAAAATAGCAAATATAGATAAAACGTGGTTGGCATAAGAATTTTTTTTTTTATTTCACCCGTGATTTACAAAGTTTGCTAGTTTACTCGTTCCGGGGTTTCGTATATCAGTCTTGGGAGACTGAGGGTTCGTTCAGGGTGTAGCATCAGGTAGTAGACACGTTGTGAAGATGAACACTCATATGTAGTCGAGAGAGATCGACTCGTGGCTTAAATATTTTACGACGTATCGCATATGTCGCAACGATTATGTTCTTGAGACAATGGGAACAAAAAGGACACTTATAGTCAATTTCAGGAAGAGACTCCATGTCTTTCTCAAAATCAACTCAGCAACGACACCGAATTTGAAATCGGCTCACCTAGTCCAATTACAGTATCTGTTCTACCGGGACTGTAATTGGCAAAAACTATCGTGCAAGTTTTTATTTTAGTCACGTTTATTTTGTCTATTATTCATTTCAACATTCTGCGATGTTTTTGAACTTCAAAGTCCAGTTGGGTTTTCCCCTAAGACGTTTTTTTCAGTTTTCACAAAAAAAAAAAAAAAAATGTTCTATAGCGTGGGTGGAAAGAAATTCCCTTTTTAAAATTTTTAATAACTTTATTTATTATTGGTTGATTTTTATAAAACATATTTCATTTTGAACCGTTTAATGATAGAAGCACAGTATATTGTTAAAATTCTATATAGATATCAATGTTTTCCGACAGTTTCCGAATGTTTCTGAATGTTGAAAGACGAACGATTCTGTAGGTATATATCACAGATCCCGTACTCAGCAGCTGGGAATGACCATTTTGGGCGGTTTTGGCATCTACTGAAATGTACAGTTCACAAACGAACACAGCGTCGCCATCCGTGCACATCTACCACGAACTGCTACGCTGCATAACGGGATGCTAGTTGAGCACGCTCTTGTAGTGTCAGACGTTGGATTATTCTGTGTTAGACTTGTCACTCTGAAATAAAAACAGAAATTAGCAATGTAATTCTACCACTTTAGGGATCACGATATATTTTGCTTCATGAAAATGTAGTGATATTAAAAAGTGTTATAAGCAATTTTCAATAAGGAGATTCCACACACTTCTTTCTATGTATGTGTCATGTCTTTTCAGGATCTCCCTCTATCCTTTGCAGCGCTTAACAAGTTCTTGTCATTCAAATGCTCAAGCCGGCTGGGTATGCGTTATTTTCCTTTGTCTCTATTCAACCCGCGAGTATCAAATTCTCCAGGCCTTCATAGTTTATTATATGTCCCAGAAATTTCAGTTTCCTCTTCCTGATGTTAAGTATACTATATATGTCAAATAGAGATTCACTGATGCGCGTCTTAATTGGTCAACTTCCTAAGTAAGATATTTTTAAATTTGTTTCTAGGTCAATCTTTACAATTTTTGAAAGACATTTTAATACAACCGCATATAGTTTGGCCTTGTTTGGTAGTTATAAATGGAGGTGCATTTTCTCTTATGAGGTATTTTTTTCGTAGCCATATTATAGTTCATTCTTCGGTAACTTGCTCTGTTTGTGTTTCCGTACGATCATCGAACATAATCAATGTCGAGCCTAGTCGGTAGATAAATGGGTGACCGCTTCAGAATGCCAGGTGCTGTAAGCAGAGGTATGCGGTTGGTGATATGGTAAATTGCTCGGGATTGTTAAACGGAGAGCCGAGTTCAAATTTGTGTTGAGTTTGTTATATTCACTTGCGCTAAAATACACTTGGAAAAGGTGTAATTCTACTCCTACATTTGCACTAATTAGTAATGGTTTTCTCAGAAAAAATAACATTATTATCACCAAAAATAAAATCTTACACTCTAAAATTATCTTCTGGCTTTAAATAACCTGCAAAGACTGATAAGCAGTAGAAAAAGAATCAATCATTTAAACATTGTTATATTTTCGGTAAGAAATATTCATGGAAAAAATTTTCTTATTTTTGGATTCTTGATTTTAGAAATATCGCTTTTCACATTTTTCATACTGAGTTTTTCCTTTCTACTTTTATGTAATTTTTTTTCGTCCTTTCTTATTGGCTTTTTATTGAGTTTTTCTGTTTTTCCTTGTTTTACTGACACTTTTCTACTTTTCCTTGTTTTACTGACAGTGTTTTCTATCTTTGCTTGTTTTACAGACAGTGTTTTCTATCTTTGCTTGTTTTACAGACAGTGTTTTCTATCTTTGCTTGTTTTACAGACAGTGTTTTCTATATTTCCTTGTTTTACTGACAGTGTTTTCTATCTTTCCTTGTTTTACTGACACTTTTCTATTTTTCCTTGTTTTACTGACACTTTTCTATTTTTCCTTGTTTTACTGACAGTGTTTTCTATCTTTGCTTGTTTTACAGACAGTGTTTTTCTATCTTTGCTTGTTTTACAGACAGTGTTTTCTATCTTTTGCTTGTTTTACAGACAGTGTTTTCTATATTTCCTTGTTTTACTATCTTTCCTTGTTTTACTAACACTTTTCTATTTTTCCTTGTTTTACTGACACTTTTCTATCTTACCTTGTTTTACTGGCAGTGTTTTCTATCTTTGCTTGTTTTACAGACAGTGTTTTCTATATTTCCTTGTTTTACTGACAGTGTTTTCTATCTTTCCTTGTTTTACTGACACTTTTCTATTTTTCCTTGTTTTACTGACACTTTTCTATCTTACCTTGTTTTACTGGCAGTGTTTTCTATCTTTGCTTGTTTTACAGACAGTGTTTTCTATCTTTGCTTGTTTTACAGACAGTGTTTTCTATCTTTGCTTGTTTTACAGACAGTGTTTTCTATATTTCCTTGTTTTACTGACAGTGTTTTCTATCTTTCCTTGTTTTACTAACACTTTTCTATTTTTCCTTGTTTTACTGACACTTTTCTATCTTACCTTGTTTTACTGGCAGTGTTTTCTATCTTTGCTTGTTTTACAGACAGTGTTTTCTATATTTCCTTGTTTTACTGACAGTGTTTTATCTTTCCTTGTTTTACTGACACTTTTCTATTTTTTCCTTGTTTTACTGACCTTCTATCTTTTGTTTTACTGGCAGTGTTTTCTATCTTTGCTTTTTTACAGACAGTGTTTTCTATCTTTGACACAGACGGTTTTTCTATCTTTGCTTGTTTTACAGGCAGTTTTTCTATTTTTCCTTGTTTTACTGACAGTGTTTTCTATCTTTCCTTGTTTTACTGACACTTTTCTGTTTTTCTTTGTTTTATTGACATTTTTCTATTTTTCCTTGTTTTACAGACAGTGTTTTCTATCTTTCTTTATTTTAAATTTTCATTTTTATCTTATTCTTGATCCTATACTATTATCCCAGTTCAATTCCTATTTATTTTGAAACCACTTCTCATTTCCTGAAATTAGTGCGTTTCTTTTCCTACTTTTATTTCTCTATATTTTTCTCGCATGACATTTCCGTTTCCATTTAAGTAGGTTTCTGTTAGATTTATATTCACACTTTAATATTTCATTTCCCTTGGCGATAATCGTTTTTACTCATAAGGTTCTCTTCTTCTTCAAATTTTGTTCGTGTTACTGTATATTTTTCATCATTTAGTTTATTTCTCTTTTACTCTTCATATTTCTTTTGTTCTTCAAAAATGTCTCTACCATTATTCCCATAAGTTTGTTTTTCTCCTTTTATGGCTTATCTTTTCTCATAAAGTATATTTTTTCTCCTTGCAACTTATTTCATTAAAACTGCGATCAAATTGAAAAAGAAACATTTTTTTAAATATTTGTGTATAGACGGTGGAGTAAGGGATAACGGCACGGATTGAGGTATCGAAGAGCCGAGTTGGAATCCCAGTCGAATCCATTACAATCCCTTACGTGCTAATACTCTTGAGAAAGGTATGAATCCTCTTCTCCTCCCCCAGCTATGACTAAATAGCAGGACAGACCGGATTCTATAGCCTTGGATTGCAACTGGTCTACTGCAGAAAGAAATGGAAACCTAGTGCAGGAAAAAATCTGCGTCGTCAGTCATATATCAAAAGATCCATCATCGCCTAAACGTGTATCACGCATGGCACATAATTTACTCTATAGACGTTAACCAATAATTTCGGATAGTTTTTTTTTTTCAGATTATAAAAATAAACAACAAGAATAATAGTAAATGTTATTATTGTTTTATGTCATATCATTTCAGTATTTTGGCGATGATACCGTTATGAATTTCTTGTGTTTTACTGTCTTAACTAAAATTCGCCAATTTAATAACGCATTTCTTCCATTTCAACTATACATAAAATGAAATTCATCAAGAAGTTTAATGTCATTGTCATCATGTTATCTAGTATTCAATATTTACTACAAATGTTATAATTCCTAACAATTCTAAAATTTCAACTGATTCATATCAGTGGATTCCTTATAATTTTATTCTCTTTGAAAATCTCCTCCTTACGCAAAATCTACCTGCATTGTATTCGTCGTCGGAATCCGAGCAATGTTTCTTTCTATCTCTTTTGTCATGGACAGGGTGTCCAGTAACAAAGCAGTAAATTCATTCTTCGCGAAAATACGCCAGTTCTAATTGGCCAATCTCAGTGGCCTTCTAAAAGCGCATATCTGAATGTTATGGATTACTCTGTCTGGCGTATACACCTAACTCAATGGCAAAACCGTCGTCGTTACGACGTAGATATTGATTCATTGAATTGGAACTTAACTGAAACTTGGGTAGGAATTCCCCTTGCCACTATCCACAAAGCAACTGACTCTTGGTTACCAGGCATGCACCCGTGTCTTGAGTATTTCAGCAAACATTTCGAATATCTACGGTAGTAATTGTACAGTTTGTGCATTAATCATGGTTGCTAAATATTTTTTTCTGAACGTACTGCATTCTTACTGGGCATCCTGTATTAGAAAATTGTCTAGTATTCACTGTTTCTAATGTTTTTGAAAGTCACTTTGCTGTTGATAATGGAGCCTTCAGTTTTACTTTTTGTCTCTCATATTCTGGCGTCTATTACTAGATTAGCGGCTTGGTCTTAACCTCCTAAAAGTTAATTCACACCACCTGTTGTCTCTTTAGCTGGCAGCCATTATTCTGTCTTATAAACCATTGTTGTCCTATAAACTATTAACAGTTAGTAATGAGACTTTTCTTACTTTCATTAAATGTCTTGCTGAGCGCTATATTAATAATCCTGAAAAACACACTCACGCTACGGATTATGTCTGAAATTACACAATCTATCTTACATAATTATAAATCTATCACTCATCTATGCAGCCAATATTGAGTTCTAATCTGGTCTGGTACATTTCTTATCTCTCAAGATATCTTTGACAAAATGCAAAGAAATATCTGCAACCATATCTGACTGAACCTGGCATCTCGACTTCAGTCTGTTTTCCACCAACGTAGCGTAACGTAATTTCCCTGTGCCTTTTCTATTAATATTTTCATGGTAATTTTTCTGATCAGCTTTCCACATTGATACGTCAACTATACTAATTTAAGCGTAGTACAAGATTGGCGGTTAGGTCTCATCTTTTTACAGTTTAAATTATTAGATGTAACCGTAAGTTCTATATTAACAGTTTTTTTCTCTCGCAATTCGTGGGAATCTTTACTAGCTTCTTTCTGTCCAATCAAAATTGTTCTTCAAAAATTTAAAAGCAATATCAGACGTCATATTTTCCCTTAATTCCTGATCTTTTGTTATTATCTCTCTTCAATTTAATGTATTTTCTCATATCCTCTCACACTCAATATCTCCGCCACCCCGCGCTTCTTAGTCTTTTTTCGCCTTGTTTGACATTAAATAATTTACACAATCACACACAAACAACCCAATTACTAAAACGATCACATAGAATGTGAATGCTATACATGAATTTTCTCGATAGAGTACAAATGAATTGAAATAATAAACATTTATGTGAGTTTAATAATATATAACTGCAGTTGATATGTTTTCAATAAAAGCTAGCTGGGGTTATATTTGAAAAATAATTGTCTATTAAGGAAATATATAAGATTCCCTAACGTATAAAACAACTAACCTTCTATTTCATTATCTGTCTAATATAATTTGTAAATTTTAATATATGTAATAAATTTCTTAATCGTAATTGTGGTTTCAGCATGTAATGTGCTTTATAGCAAGCATTCGAATGTGTAGATTTTGCTTGTGTGATGTCAACATTCGATGAACTGAGTTCTATAATGGCCTCTGGTATTAATGGAAAATATTCCTTCAACGATACACGCGATGATCAGTTCCATTCATTTATTCAGTTAGCACATTTTGCACAGGCGCTGTTGTCACCACTCTCCTTCATCTCATGTGGTTCATGTTGACATTCTTTTCAAAATAATGACTTGCCAGTTACTTTTGCACCGGAGATGTTGAGAGTTACCAGTCCCATTCTCTCAGACGTTATAGAAGCAAAACCTATAAGGCATCATGTGGTTTGAATTCTGATTTTTCCTTCTCATAGAGTAGCGATGTTTTATGGAGGCCGTAAGATTCCCAGGCTACATGGACTTACTTTCGGCCTTAACGACAAGATTCAAAAGGCATTACATTTGAGAACGGCTTGGCTGCAGGAATTGTCGGAAAGCTGTCACAGTTGACAGTCAACCATCTTTGGTGCTTCACTCCGGGTTTTCCGTCTGGATTTACTTCCATAGACTTTTCCGTGGTTTGCATATGACTGCAAGGCAGCAGAGGTTTAAAAACAGTGTTTTCCTTCTCTTAGATGGACTGACTTCCTGGGCTGTTGAGCTCCATCTACCCGAAGAAGATCAGTTTACTCAATTGCAAATAATGCTACATTTGCATAGTAATATACCCGCATTAGAAAGTCTGACGCTCAACTTCCTGAGAGCACCTCTCTGCGGCTGCTCGGTCTCACGTTGACGGCTGACCTGAGATGGAACAAATACATTGAGTCAATTGCTTCGTCCACCGCAAGTAAAGTTGTCTCCTTGTACCGCGCCAGGAAATTTTTCTCCCCGGAATCGATCCTTCAAATCTACAAATCAACCATTCGCCCTTGCATGGAGTATTGCTGCCATATATGGTCTGGAGCCCCTACTGTTTGCCTCGATGGTTCTTGATAAGATCCAGAGACGGATATGCAGTATAATTGGCCCTGATCTGGCATCTCGTCTGCAGCCGCTCTCTCACAGACGTGCCGTCGCCTCTCTCTGTCTTTTTTACAAATACTTTCATGGCAATTGCTCCGATGAGCTGCTTTAGCTGGTTCCCAGACTTCGCGTATTCAAGCGTCCTACGGGGCTGGCATCCCGCTTTCATACTTTCATTGTTGAAACTGTTAAATGCAGCCGCCTCTTCTACTCCAATAACTTCATATCTCGCACCTCTCGCCTGTGGAACTCCCTTCCCTATTCCTGTTTCCCTGATAGCTATAATCTCCAAATAATCAAATGTAATGTCAATCGACATCTCCAGTTGCCTTGATCTATCCACTATCCTTCTCTTCATCATTTCCTATCATTCCTATCTGCGCTCGCTTCGAATCCTCTATAAACCCTTGCGTGCTTCTGGCTTCTCGCCTTACTAGGGGTGAAATGCTTATATATATATATATATATATATATATATATATATATATATATATATATATATATATATATATATAAGATTTTTGTAGGTACAAAATTTAATGATCGAAATAAAAGTGTACAATTTAATATTACAAGACATATTAAAACAATATTAAATAATAAAAAACATATTAAATAATAAAATAACATTAAATAATAATAAAAAAAATATATATATATATAATGGCGTTTCTCTTCAGAACATAGATTATGACATTATGACACTCGACTGATTTCTTTTATTTTTAACTGTGGTCTCCAGCGATATTTTTGGAAAGATATGAAAGCGATTTCCAACAGCATTAGTGACTTGAATTCTGAGTATTTTTCTCTTAAAATAGTTGCATGATACAACTATCGAATCGATTCTAAACTGCTATTTAATCTGTAGCTTCGGAAGAAGACGAAAAAGTTTCGGTGGGGATTTGATCCCGGTTTAATTGTATCATCTACCGCGCCATTCGCCCTTTCGCTATTTACATTAACTTCATTAATATTAGAATGCATAGTAACATACTACGAAATATGAATTTCCTTCAAGGTTCAGTATATATATTTTTTTATAAAAGTATTAGTAGGCCAAAACTGCAGTGCTTAATATATTTCACATTGCTTTACAATGTGGATACCCATAAAATACTTATATATATATATATATATATATATATATATATATATATATATATATATATATATATATATATATATATATACCATAAAATTCCTATATATATATATTTATATATATATATATATATATATATATATATAAATATATAAAAAATACCTATATATATATATATATATATATAAAATATATATATATATATATATATACACACACACACATATACATATATATATATATATATATATATATATATATATATATATATATATATATATATATATATATATATATATATATATATATATATATATATATATATATATATATATATATATATATATATATATATATATGTATTTTAAAGAAAAACAGATCACTTTAAGGTTCCATTATAATAATTTATCTATGTTTAATGGACTCTGGGATCATCAGATAGCACTTCCAAATGATGAAACGAAACGAAATGAAATGAAAATTCATACTTTTGATGGTTAGTGAAAGTTTTTGTAATTTATCAGAGGGGGTAATGAGGGGTGGATTGATAGACATGGTCGAGTTTAGAGAGGGTTTATTTAATATTTCTCTCAATGAGACTTAGTATTGGGAGAGGAGGGGGCAGACATTGACCTATTTAATCTCTCTCTCTCTCTCTCTCTCTCTCTATATATATATATATATATATATATATATATATATATTTGTAACTCAGTATGTGAGCAGTGATAACATTTTCGTGAAATTAAAAACACAAATGATACTTGCATATCTACGTCACATAATGTGGAAAGAGTTCTTAAAACGTTTGACACTCGCAAGACATATCTAAGGCAAGAGGAAATCAGCGCTTAGCATACATGTGGAGACGAGTAAATATTTGAAATAACAGGGATTAAGAGAGATAACGAAAAGACAAAGTTTACTCAGAGTTAAAAAGGACATGCAATTGTAGAAAGCCATGATCACCCATATCCTGAAGGGAGAACGAGGAGAATGTAAATAGAAGAAGAATTTATTAAGTATATTTTAGTTGTGACTTACATTAGAGAAAATATGTATGTCTTCAGAAATTTGAATAACTCTGCATAATTGTGTTTTCTCATAAAACGACTTGCATATTAAAAGTTTTCTTCGTTTAGAAAGTAGAAGTAATACGATAGCTTATTTCATTTGCTCGAGTCCATTTTGGTTAGAGAAATTAATGAGTAAATTGAAAATATGTAGTGTTTTGAAATTATGATTGGATTCCTAGATAATAATGTGTTGGAAATAAACGAAATATCTTTTTATTTACGACATTTTAAAAACATACTTTAGAAAATGTCAAATATTAAAGGTGCTATATGTTCTTTTAATATTATGATGTAATTCATCAAACTTCCAACATCGAAATGAATAAAATAGGCTAGGAGTCTTGAAGTAAGTTTAGTTTTCGAAAACAACGAACACACTCCTTTACATAGCATCTATCTATCTATCTATCTATCTATCTATCTATCTATCTATCTATCTGTATTTGCAAATAAATAGGTGTCCTCGTATAGTCGTCTCTATCCTTCTTAGCCTACCCCTGTCTATCTATCTATGTAATATATATATATATATATATATATATATATATATATATATATATATATATATATATATATATATACACACACACACACAACAAGCACATAGATATATATACGTGTGTGTGTGTTTATTTATCTGTATCTGCTTACATATGTATTATTGATTGTATGTCCGTAAAGGCTATTCCTAATATAGTAATAACAGCCAAATTGATTGACATTTGACACTAGGCTAATCATCTTATATAACTCCTTATTTAAAATTACAAAGGAAAATTGCTTGTGACCAGATAATAATATTAACTTACCTAATACAATATCTAATAATAAGAATAACATATGATTTCTTAGCTGAATATACAGAAAATATAATTCATATATCAACCAGGAATTTACGTCTGTATTTACTAACAAAAAAAATATACGTAATGACAATTTAATACATGATAGAATTACCAGTAACAATAATACTTGAAAATTTATTTGTGAATATATTCCCGTGTGTCCATATTGTATTAAATACTTAACGATAGAGATTGTAATTTAATCGTGTTAAGGTTGTTTAAATTATTAGAAGAATTCGATTTAAAAGTTTCACTAGATACCAGTGAATTTATAATTTCCACTGGAGGCCAGTTTTTGTTTGTCGGTGTTGCTATCTTTAATCCTTCATGGCCCACTGGATAAACGCGTTGGTTAAAGTCAATCCAGTGATCTGAGCCAAATAGTTTTGACTTCAATACATTGCTGCAGTAGAAAGAACAAAAACTTGGTTAGTTACGTTACTAAAGAATACATTGCTTCAGCAGAAGCAATAAAATCTTGGTGTGTTACGTTACTAAAGAATACATTGCTGCAGCAGAAGGAATAAAAACTTGGTGAGTTACGTTACTAAAGAATACATTGATGCAGTAGATAGTACAAAATAGTTGTTCCAGTAGATAGTACAAAAATATGGTGAGTTACGTTACTAAAGAATACATTGCTGCAGCAGAAGGAACAAAAACTTGGTGAGTTACGTTACTAAAGAATACATTGCTTCAGAAGATAGTACAAAAATATGGTGAGTTACGTTACTAAAGAATACATTGCTGCAGTAGATACTACAACAATATGGTGAGTTATGTTACTAAAGAATACATTGCTGCAGTAGATAGTACAAAAATATGGCGAGTTACGTTACTAAAGAATACATTGCTGCAGTAGATAGAAAAAAATATGGGTGAGTTACAAAAAAATATGGGTGATGTTACTAAAGAATACATTGCTGCAGTAGATAGTACAAAAATATGGCGAGTTACGTTACTAAAGAATACATTGCTTCAGCAGAAGAAACAAAAACTTGGTGAGTTACGTTACTAAAGAATACATTGCTGCAGTAGATAGTAAAAAAATATGGTGAGTTACGTTACTAAAGAATACATTGCTGCAGCAGAAGGAACAAAAACTTGGTGAGTTACGTTACTAAAGAATACATTGCTGCAGTAGATAGTACAAAAATATGGTGAGTTACGTTACTAAAGAATACATTGCTTCAGCAGAAGAAACAAAAACTTGGTGAGTTACGTTACTAAAGAATACATTGATGCAGTAGATAGTACAAAAATATGGTGAGTTACGTTACTAAAGAATACATTGCTTCAGCAGAAGAAAAAACTTGGTGAGTTACGTTACTAAAGAATACATTGATGCAGTAGATAGTACAAAAATATGGCGAGTTACGTTACTAAAGAATACATTGCTGCAGCAGAAGGAACAAAAACTTGGTGACTTACGTTACTAAAGAATACATTGCTTCAGTACAGGAACAAAAACTTGGTGAGTTACGTTACTAAAGGGAATTACCTGAAACTGAGGCATCAAGAAAAAATATGGTATGTGAAGCTAGAACAATCTACCCTCGTGGCCTAAATAAAGTGTTTTTCAAAGTGTGAGACTTTTTCCGTCAGTGATTATTGTAAGATAATCTTACAAATCCATTGGTTTTAATCAGTATTTAGTCATTTATTCTTATCACAATCTGAATACTAAAATTAACTTTCCTTATTACCACTCTTGGAATTTGTTTGGAAATTTAAGTTAGATCTTTCAAAGAGGATATTGAGTATATAATATTACAGAATATTTTAAAAAAATAAATACAGGGCGTTTCTTTAAACTTCTGGACCTGACAAAGACGAACTTTAACAATTTTTTGCTTGGATATTAGGAAGTGTATTTTTCAAGAATATTTCAGCCACCATATTATATATTTGACTTTTTCAATTTTACGTTGAAATGGAATTTTCGAACATAATTATTTTTTGTTATCAATGAAATAAAAACAAATAGTTTAACGTTACCTCTTGTTTCCTTTTTTGCATAGTAACTTTCTCAAAATTCTAAATTATACTTCCCATATACCCACAAACATAATACCCCTCACATATTTACCCCATTTATTTTCTCCTGTTTTAATCTAGTAGAATTAGAAAACATTGGGCTCGACGTCCATTCAATTTAAAACTTTCAAATCAACATTTTATGTGTCATTACACTTGACATTATCGAGGAGGAATATTCTAAAAAGAAAATTAAAAAAACAAATAATAATTCATTGTTAATTTTCAATTTGTTTTATAGTTTTAAAACGTCGCACAAGGAAGCATTCCATTTTAGAAAGAAAGAAAAATCGTATAATAATTTACAGACATTACTGTAATTTTCCAAATATTTTTTAAACCTAAAAACAAGATCTATATAGCACAGATTAAATTACGAAAAATTGAATGATGGATGAGTATTACATTATTACTATTTAACGTCATCTCCTAAATTCCAAACATTTTCCCTTCAACCAGCCTTAAAATATAGACTTTACCTAAGAAATTTTATTTAATGTTCTACCACTAAAAACATACTGGTCGATCCATTATTAATTCAACAACATCATCTGTACTTCCTACAACTTTACTTAGAGTCCGAAAGACAACATCATTCCTTCTTAGTTATGGTTATATATATATATATATATATATATATATATATATATATATATATATATATATATATATATATATATATTGGGAAAAAAGTTAACGAAAATGAATCAGGTGCAGTTGTTATGGTAGACATTTATCAAAACAATTTGACCAATATAAAAGATCCCCGTGACCTTGTGTCACATTTTATCTACGATTAGTAAATCACTCTAAGAGATCTCAGAAAATGAGTTGAATAAAATCTAGGATAGAAATATAGTAAACAATCCATAATGTACCTGGGATTTCTACGTTACGTATCCCTTCCGGGGGTAGGCTATCATGGACTTGTATACTTTCTAACCTTCCTAGGAGTAAGCAGGTATAAGACTACTCGCTGTTTCACTCTGAACATCTTGAGTTCAAGATGTCCTATTAGAATCGCATTTTCTAAGCAATCTTTCTTCATTGTGTTTCCCACAGATTACATCAGTCTTTTTTTTTCCTGATCCTGAGGAAAAGAGTTCACTTCGATTGGATTTTCCTTAAGACATCCTCGTTGGTCACATATTCTGTACATGTTATTCTCAGTATCCCTCTTGTTGTTGACACAACTCAACTTCATATGTGAGGAAATCTTCCAGGATCCAATGCCATATAGGATGATTGATATGAAATTGTGCCTTAGCACGCTTTTGTTAGTTTCTAATTTTTTTTTCTATTACCTGAAGATAACTATTGTTATAATTGGTCTTACATAAATTAATACACTAATAATATTACGATTTTTATTAGAGGGATTGAATAAACTAATACACTAATAATACTATATTTTGTTATTAGAGATAGTGAATAATTTTTAAACCATGCACAGCGGGATTTCTATAATTCTAGCGGTAAATTACACAATCTGAAAATATTCTTTCTTTCTATGCGCCATATCCATTCAGGACGTAGGCGATCATGGCTCTCCGGCTCTCTAAACCTCCCAGCTCTCCGTAAGCTCCTTCCTACTGCTTCCTCCCCCAGACCACGTTCTGTCATCCACCTGCTCAAGCTCATCAGGTATGTCACGTGATGCTTTCTCTTGTCACTTTTTTTTCTATTTGACCCGTGAGAATCAGATTCTCCAGGCCGTCAATCCTAATAATGTTTCCAAGAAACTTCAGCTTCCTTTTTCTTATGTTAAATATAATCCTTCTCCTTGTTTTTATACTCGCTAAGACTTCATCGTTGCTCACATGTTCTGTGCATGATACCGTGTCTTAATAATGGCCAATATTCACAGCGTTTAAAATTTCCTAAACAAGGATTATAGACGGTTGAAACATTAAGTGAATTGTAAAATTATTACTGAATATAGTGACAGGAAACAGAATTTAGATATAAATTGCATCTTTTTTTTAGCCAGTCCTACTTTTGTTATTGTTAACAAAATAAATACAGGATTTGTGGAAATATTTGTAATTTTAATATAAATATAAATTTCATTTCATATAAAAGTATAAATTATAAAAGAGTCATTATTATATTTAGGATAATGCAAAAGATATAGGAAGTGTTTCGATGTTTCCAAATTTAAAACACCGAGAATTTTTTCAGAAATCCCAAGATTCTGTATATTTATAGAACGTTTAAAGGCATATTTCAATTTTAAGAATTTATGAACAAAATAACAATTGAACGACCTGTCATTTAAATATATATATATATATATATATATATATATATATATATATATATATATATATATATATACGTTTTATTAAATAATATAGATAAGTTTTGTCTATTTATTTTGAGTAAGTTCCTTTCATATCTTCTGATAAGTTTAATAACATTATCATTGAAAGACGAAAGGAAATCACCATATTGTTACATGTTTAAATCCGATCTAAGCTATCGGCTTACATCAGCCATTATCAAAGATGAAAACATGAAAACAATAAACAAAAAATGTTGAAGCTAGACATATAAAACAGTTGAAACCTAACCTGAACAAAATAAACTACGAAATCTCCACAAATATTCTTAAATTCCTATAATTGATAA